GCCTGGCCTCTGCAGAGCTCCTGGCCCTGGTTAGGCTGGGGGGTGCTCCGAGTGCCCTCCTGCCTCAGTTCCTGGGTCGGGTGGCCGCGTCCTGCCCCCTCACTGGGGAGGGCAGATGGTGGGGCCTTTCTGGAGCCTTGTCCCCAGCCCTGGGCTGGCAGGAGCTGCTGGCATCTAAGAACTGTGACCGTGTAGGGTAGAGGCTGTTAGTAGAGAAGAGCTTTAGGCTGCCTGATCTATGGAGCTCTGTTAATGAGGTATGTCTGAACTTCCAGAAGTGGATGAATAAGAGCAGCCATCTGTTTTCGTATACTCTTTCTCCTGTGAAGAGACGGGACAGAAAGGTAGTTAAACATAAAGCTCTGTGTGCTGACGTATTGTGAAATTAAATTACATGGTCTGCATTTGGTATAAGGACTGGTGCTACTTGACATTTGAGTTAACCTTGAGCCACTGCTTGTGGAAACTTTGGTGTTATTTCATATCCCCTATGTGACTTTTTTCACTTCTGGGTCTCAGCTGTAAGACTATTGAACTCTCGCTATTGCAGATACATTGGTTCCATGTCACTGAGTATCTTAAAGATAAGCTCAGAGTTTGGCTTTAACATTCTGTGGAACAATCATGGAACAAATCTGTCTTCCTCATACCTGTCCTTTCCTACGGAGATGATGAAACCAGCCACATTCAAGATATTGTTAGGCGAAGCTTTCTACCCAACTGTTGAGAGGTGATCTCTAACTGAGACTAGACAAGCCGTCAACTAAGAAGGGCTAATAGTACATGAGATGGACTGTGTACTGTTTCTGTCCTCTCCAGAGGAGAAAGCTTCATGCTGAAGATCCCTGTGCTCTTGCTGACCATGGTGAGGCTGTAGGAGACTGGTGCTCAACTGTTGTTTTGAGCCACTTCTGGTTGCTGCCTGGAGATGTCACGTGAATTAGATTAACTCTGTAGATTTATGCCAGGTTAAAGATACAGTCTATAATGGTTGTCTTCTAGTGCTCTTTCAGGAAAAACTCAACATTGCATCCCACATAAGTAGCTGGAATCTATTGTCAAGTGTACAAAAGCACCTGAGGTATGCAGGCCCTTCCCTAAGCATAGGCATTTGTGGTTTTGGTTTTTCTTTGTTGTTGTTTGAAACCCCTGTCACTAATAGTTCCATTTCATGTCTGGTCCTTCGTGTGTGATACAGGACTCAAGTGGCTTGACTTTCACTAAATTCTCAAAGATCTTTTTAAGAAACTGGACTTCGAACCAGTCACTTAGCAGTTTAAGCTGGCCATCTGTGCAGGGCTGTTCTGGAACTTGGTTATGTTGTGTTTCAGTGGGAGAGTACTTCCTCATTTAGAAGTCAAGGAATGGTATAAAATATTTGCATAACATCTCAAGGACACAGAAAACAGTCAGCAGCTTCTGAAAAGCCATTTATGTGTTGATATTTTTTTGCTCTCAACTTGAAAAGCATTCAACCAAGTTAAATGCCGCAGAGCAAATCTTAGTACCAAACCAGAGTGAGAGTTTCCCCTCATAGCCGGAAAAGAGACATTTTATTGTACAAGATCTCTGATTTCTATCAAACCTCAAATACGCTATCTGCACTATTGCCTAATATGTTATATATGTATGCTTAGTTCCTTTTTAGATCCCTGCGTTGTGCTGTACAAATTATACATATGGGAACTGAGTTGAGGAACAGATGCAGCTGAGAGTCACGTTTCTTGGAGGTCTTGGTTTTCAGCTTGCTCGCAGTGCAACCATCCAGCTCTGAGGAGGGGGAAGGCCCCAGCCGGTGCTTAGGTAGCCACTGTGGCTGAGACCCAGTCTGATGGGGATGAGCCAGCCCTGTGATAGTGTCTGAACCCTTCCTTGTGGAGAAGCTGCTGCTGACTCTCCAGCACACGTGTTGAGATCCAGTCAGATCTGAGACTGACTATTGCAACATTATAAATACGATGACCAGAAATGACAAGGTTAGGTTATGTCCTAGGAAGAGCAGTGTAGCTGAAATAACCTTGCAGAACAGTTATCTTTGATAGCAGTTCAGGAAAAAAAAAAATATCTTGGAGATTATTTGCTGCTGTTTCCATGTATTGTTACGGTCATGCTAAAGTTGCATGTTAAGAGGTTTTGTTAACACCTTTGAAATCTGAAAATATAGCTATGATCTCATGACTTTAGTATCAAGACATAATGCTTTTCAGTAGTTCATTCTTCTGTTAGTCCTTTGATACCAGAATATGCTGGTTTAATTGCCAGCTTGAATTCCAGTTTGTTGGAACACAATTGAAGAAGGCAAGATAATGCAGAGCAATTAAAACGTTTTAAATCAGTGATTTTGCCAAACTTTCAGAGTTGAGGAGAATAGCCTGCCGTTACACATGCTTGTTCTTCACAGGTGTTCAATGGGTTTTCTGGGATAGCAGCCACAACTGCTTTTTGCACAGCATCTTGTCAGCTGAGCCTTTTAAACTGGTTTCAGAGAGTGAGAAAGTAGCCATTCATATGGCTTGAGTATGTGCTTACTTCTGGTAGTAGCAGATGTGTTACCTTTCTTTTGGTGCTAAGCTCCTTATGATGTCTGGATTGAGTGTACAGCATTTCCAGATAGACTTGCTGTTAAGTAGGACGTTGTAGTTGTTGCCAAATACAGTTCTGAATAATAGTGATGTCTGGAGCCCTCAGCAGTAACACCAGTGCAGTCAGGTACAGCTTGCTCTTATCAGGAGCAGAGGGTGAACCTTAAGGTGTTCCCTTGTAAGGAAGAGCTGACTCTTACTCTGTGTTTTACCAGATTTTGCTGCTTTAAAAAGCAGGGCAAGTGAGAATGTTGACCTTTGAGATGTTCCCAAGGCGTTAACAGGCGGTGGCTGCGGTGACCTAGCCAGACACCACCTGGTCTTTCTATGTGCGAGTTGTTCCCCTCCAATTCACAGTTCCTGTCACTTTTGAGTCGTACTTCTGCTGAATTCACAGCCTCTTAATTACGAACTGCCTTTGTCAGTCTCTAACCCTAAAGTGCCACACCACCGTAGCTGACTACAAAGGGGCATGGCTTGTAACTGTTGTAAAACTGAGCAAGAGGCATGTGCCCTGGGAACGACCTGTGTCGTGGAGGACTGCTGCAGGAAGGTAAAACACTTCTGCTTTGCCTCAGCTCTGATGGGAACTAATGATCAATAGCAGGTTTGCAGCTGGTGTTGTGAAAAGAATTATCCCTGGAAACAACTCGCAAGTTCTCATTAGTTAAAAAAAAGAAAATAAACTGAAGTTTTACACTGTCTTGCTTTGGGAATTATACTGCTTAAATATGCATAATTCTTAAAAAACTTCATTTGCTGGAATATGCACATTTGCACTAGCTTGCAAAGACTCTAGAGTTCTGACTGAAAGAACTCTTTCTACTTTTCAAAAACAAAAATTGTTTTTAACAGGAAATGATAGTGACAATTTCATCTTTGTGTTCCATATTAGAAACAGTAATAGAGTTGAAATTTCCTCCCCTTAACAGCAAACAGCTGTTGTATTGCTAAAATTTATTAGACCTTTTGTCAAACATTAACTTTCTATAATGTTAAAATCATAATATGGACTTGCTTTCAACTTACGTGGAAGACTGTGAATGAAATTGGACGGTAGTGTTAAATCAATACTGAAGTCTCGCTGCCTAGGAACACTTGAATTCCGTTAGTGAGTTTATCTACTCATGCACTCTTGTTTACTATATTTATCATGTATAAATTAGCAACAGCATCTTCCAGAACTAACTTGGATGTATTTTCAAAGTTTTAAAAAATGAACCTTATAGACAAATGGGGGTTTTTTTGACATACTGTAAGGGAAGGGAGTATATGTCTGAACCACAACCATGTAGAATGGTTTTAAGTCAAATCTGAATTTGGCCCATGTACATTGCCTCTGGCAGGACTGTGTTTGCCATCATAGGCATTCGTAAGAAAAAGTCTCTTGTGCACTGAGTGAGAGGCAAAACGCTGAAGGAGTAAAGTTCCTAAATGCTATTGGTTTTAAATGAAGATTTCGGTTAGTTTGAATGTTTGCTACCTTCTGATGTGCTTCAGGATCCTCTCTGCAGAAAAACTGCCGGTGTGTCAAGGTTGGTGGATCAGTTGGAATTTAGATGTGGAGATCTTTCCAGGAAAGACGTACTACAGCTATACAATACAACTACAGTAGCTTCCAGTTTATGTTAAACTGCTGTTCGAGGAGCAACACAGGACCCAGGTTTGAACAACTAAGGAGGTGGGTGAGATAAATGAGGAGAGTAGAAGGGAAATGCTAGTGATCTTCAGGTAATCTCAAGAACACATCTAGCATGTCTGCAGTGTCCTCTGTGTGTGTTAAGGACCTTCACTTCAATGCTGGACCAAGTCCTTTATCTGATGTCCCTTTTCACTGAGCAGTAAGCACCTTTGTCTGTTCTCCTACCTGTTATCCTCAATGTCTTCATCTACTTTAGAGCTGGAGTGCAGATTCTTAAATCTGTTCTTCCAACCTTTGACAGGAGTAGGCAACAACTTTGCATGAGGAAAAAATTGATATCATTAGTGTTGGATGTGAAAGGGGAAGAAGAGAGCAGTTGTCTGTCTCCCAGACTGGGGGCTTTTCCTAATTATGGCAACTCTTTTTCTGATTATTGAACATAATTTTTTGTCTCATGTTGAAAAGTGGACGGAAGTCAAGTGACTCTTAGAGGTGAGGCACATGCGACCCTGTACAGATCTTACTTGAAGATGGTGCAGGATTAGCGATTGCAGTAGCTGGACTGCTGCTAACCTTAAGTGTAAGGAAGACAATTGGTGCTAACTCTAGCACAAAACAGACTTATCCAAGCAGAGTTGTATCAAACAGTAGTATTCAAAGCAGCATTCTCGGTTTCTAATATGTATGAATATACACCAGTAAGCAGGAGCACAAAGTGTAACAATTTAACTTCAGTTTAGGCTTAGTGAAAGTATTCTTAGGCTTTTTTTTTCTGTCAAGGTTGCTGCCTTGCTGAGATTTGCTTGTCTGTCAACATGTGAAATCAGTTATAAATATCATGAACACTTGTGTAATGCAGTAAATTAATTTTTTTTGCAGGAAGTACCAGGATGGGAGGAAAATCAGTTGCTTTACCACCTATTAAAACCTCTAATGAAGCCAGTATAAAAAATACTCACTAGGCCTAACGGGTAGCATATTGAATAAATGTGTTGTATCACTTCATGTTACAAACTAACTCCTAGGTGTTATGGTCTTAACCCAATGCTTATGCACTGTTTGACCACTACCGATGTGGAAACTGCTATTTGTAGCAGGTTCTAATCCCAGAATCAGGTTGAGGTGGTGAATCATAAGCCTGATCATAAAATTGTAGACAAGTTCAGTCTTTCTTGTAGGGTTGTTGTGTGGGCACTTTTAGACTGGTCAACAGAAGTGCTTGACATAGGATTTCTGAATGAAACTTAGTCTCTTAGTAACAACCCCTGAATATAATGTGATAAAAGCATTATCAGTTCCTAAGTAAATATGCCTAGCCACACTTCTGCATTGTAAATATTTAAGCTGTAACGCTTAATTTTTACTGTGGCTTTTAATTAGAAATAGTTGTGTGTCTGAAGAGCTAGAATTTATTTTAGAACAGGAACCCAAGTATGTTTGGTTAAGCAAGTTTTTGTAATTTCCTGCACTCAAAATGTGTCTAACATAAACATGTAAGTATAAAAAGGCCTTGGGGACTGCATTAACTCCTTGAAATATACAGCTTGTGAAATCCTATTAGGAAATCCGTGGCAATGGCCATGGCATAAGAGTGGACAGTTACTGTGGCCCGATACACTGATTTAGTGGTGATTTGCTGTGTTAACCTGCAGCCTTAGTGGTGTGGCAGTAAGTGGTAGCAGACTTAAGCAGCGAATCTATGGCGGCGTGGGCATTAAGGAACTTGGTGTTAATCTGACTTGGTCCTGTGCTGGTAGGGTATTGCTATCTTCAACTGTTGCTAGCATACTAAGGACAATGAAGTAAGTCTTAAACTATCCCTTATGCAGTTGTAGCTTGCTACTTAAGCCGGGCTGAGTGAAAGAGGAACAAAAGCACATGAGTTGTCTTTCCAAGGTCACGGAAATTGGTCATGTGCAGTAGCATTTGCTTTGGATTCTTATCGTACTTGTGAACTCCAGTTTGAAACCAGTACTGACTACCTGATTCTTTTTTTTCTTTCTGCCTAGCATCAGATTTATTTTGAAACAGTCTTTATGGGAGTTGACTGACATGCAACCTTTTTTTTTAAAGGTATTTTCAAGAGGAATAATTCAAGATTGATGGATGAAATTTTAAAACAGCAGCAAGAACTCTTAGGACTAGATTGTTCCAAGTACACGGTGGAATTTGCAAATCAAGACAAAGCTGATCAAGGTAAGATGAATTGCACGGGGGGGTTGGTATGACTCCACATAGCTGCATATAAATTGTAACTCTGCTTTTACCTAAACATATTCCTGTGTACAGTGACCTTTTCCTTCATTAGGCACAGATTATCAGAACACATGCAACCTTCCTGGGCTAGCATTAAACTTTCATTGTGCTTATTTGTTCTTAACTAATAGCAAAGTGTTGCGCTCTCCTTTGCATAGTGATCATTACTGGGCAGTCTGATCTTCTCTCTAGCCTGACTGTTGTGCCGTGACCCCTTTAACACATCAGTGCAGCTCAACTCCCCACTGTTTCAGTGAGGTGAGTTCATTTGCACTGGAGTAAGTGTAAGGGAACTGATGTCAAGTTAACAGCGTGTGCCCTTCCATCTTTCCAAACTTACCCCTCAAAGGAAGAAGGGAAAGACCAAAACTGCCACTTGCCATGGTAATGTATAATGACACCAGGAAGGTAAATGGTATAAGATAACCAAAAAAAAAGTTCTGTGGTAGCAGCTTTTGCATGTAGTAGAAGTGGAAAACAGGAATATGTTTCAAGGTTAATGTGTCTTATTCAATACCATCTGCTGCAAGTATTCATTTAGGTATGATAACACAAATGCTAGAAGTCTGTTCAAAATGTGGTAAATCACAAGCATCTACTTACTAAAGCAGGTCTTTGCCTTAGAGAAATAGGCTGATACTTACAACTGTCCTGTGACTCATAATATTTAAATAGGTCTCATAATAAAAAACAAACCCCAACCCTTATGTTTTAAGACAATCATATTACATAGTTCAAAGACTTAAGACTACAGTTCACAAGCTGTAGTACATTTAGCTGCATTTAGGGTGCTGCTGGCTGAGTTTTGCTTGCCCTACAAGAGCTGACAGGATGGTCAGATCCTTTGTGCCCGTTTTCCAGTATAAAGTCCAATGTTGTAGCCTAAATTTGCCTTATAAGCAACTTAGGCTAAGGTGCTAGCATTTACATGGAAACACCCAAGTTCCATGTTGTTTCTGTTTATTCCTGTGAAGGTTGAAATACCTGGTACAAAATGGTACATCTAAGACTAGTTGTATAATATATGAAGTAAAGTGCAACTTACTTTCAGTCGTTTCTTGTGAGTATCTAAAGCACATTCAAAACAATTGTATTTCTGTTGCTTTTAAACTATGTTTTGTACTTTCAGTTTTAAATTGCCAATCTACATTGAAGGTGCTGTCTCCGGAAGATGGAAAAGCAGACATAGTAAAAGCTGCTCAGAACTTTTGTCAGTTGGTAGCACAGCAGCAAAGAACATACACAGACCTGGATGTGAATGTGTTAGACAACTTATTAAGTAGTAAGTATGACATAGTCTATGGGGAGGAGGGGAAGAGTACTTGATTTATAACATATTTGGTTTCTAGCATATTTATCGTTTAGAATGTACATATCTTGATGCTTAGTCTATCAGGGCAAGTTATGATTATTGCTTTCAGTCTTCTGCTAAAAATTTCTTACTCCTTTACTCCCTTTTGAGCTTTTTCTTTAAGCAGAAAAAGGAAACCTTAAGCTATATTGGAGAGTCTCAGCTTTTTGGAGCTTACAGCCGCTGTAGGATGTTCTGTGATGAGCTTTCTGAAAAAGTACTGCTGGGATCACCTGAAACTAGACTACTATAACTCGGGTTAACTTCTTGCAAGTTAGCATGCTGCAAACCTGAATATGGACAGAGAGTCTTTTCCAGATCTGTTTACAGCAATTAAAGCTGTTACTGCTACCTGACTACCACCCTGAGTGCAAATGATACTTGCTCATCTTTTGCTGCTGTATAACCCACACTAGTTTAGCTATCTCTGTTACTAATTCATGCAGATTACGGACTCTGCGCTGAGGTGCATGGCTACCTGCAATAGCTATGAAAAGGGCAGGTCTGCCCTGATCTCACATCTGGGAGAAGTAGTTTAGGACAAGGCTCCGCTTCCCCAATGGTGCTGTGGAGCTGTAATAGTTGCTCAGCTTCCCTGGGTGATCCATGCATGTTAATTGCAGCTGTAATTAGCTTGGCAGGGTTCAGGTTTCAAATTGTACTCTTCAACTGGGATGTCTGCAGGCACATTATTGTAGTGTGGCTCCCATTCACTGGGCTTTAGAGGGTGATTGTTTTTTCAAATGGGTGGTCAGCTGAGTTGCTCTGCAGACTGACTACTGTGGCAGTTTGGACACTTTAATCTTAACTTCAAATTGGATTCTATCCCTGTTGTCAGCATGCTGCTTGATAGCTTCTCACTGTGATGGAATTATTAAATGTATTTAATAAGGCACCTGAAGAAGTAACTTAGGCATCTATCCTGTTATACCCCAAAGGCAATTTAAGGAAATGAGTAATTGCTTCTTTAAAACAGTCACTCATTTTGTGAAGAACTGGTGACAGTTGATACCCATGTATATTTTTTGGCCACCGATGTTTAACTGGAGCTTCTCAAACGCTTGTTCATGATCTTCTGTCTGAACATTTAAGTGTCTGGATATGTTAAAAGTATTGGGTCCAGTCTTAAATTGAGCAGATTTATTGTCCAAGTAAAGCATGCTAGCCGAGCACAGAAAGAGAAATCTCCTAGACTTTTAATCTGTCAAAACTATAAACTTTGAAAACAGGCTGCTGAATCTGTGGCTAATAACTATGGATAGTATCTGTAACTAGTCCTGCTTATTTGCTTGGTTTTAATGTTTAGTACAGTTGAAGGTAAAGAACTACTCTTTTGTGACTTATTTAGCAGCAGCTTGTAAAACTATTCGTTTTAGTTGGAGGCAAATTTAGTTTCTGTGCATCCTTAATGGAAAGGTATTGAATGTAAACATCTGTGAGTTACTGATCTAAGTTGAGAGTGAGTTCTGAAAACTCACTCAGGGTTTGTGTTCATAGTGACTTCTGTAAGTTTCTGGTTTTTCACATTTTGATTTAAATACCTGATAATGTAGTTTTTAAACTTCCTGTTCATATTTAGGATGCAGTTACTGAAGTCTAGTCCTAAAATGGTATGGTTCTAGCTTGTCATGTGGCTTTTCTGGTTCTTAATCCAGTCATGCTCTAATTCTTATAGCTTGAGTTTTCTTCAGTGTAAGAGTACTTTCTTCTGAGCAATGCCTCAGCTAACCAGCTTGTTTTCAGAAAAGTAGGTGCCAGCTGCATTATAACATTGTCTGTACTTGCAGTCTGCCTTCCCAGTAAAAAACATGACTGTTCAACAGCAAGAAAACATTCAGGCTGTTCAAGTTGCCCTGTAAAAATCTTATGTGGAGAATTGTCAGCTCTACAAATTCCTTCATGTTCCCCTCACAGAACTGCTGACCCAGAAGGGATGTTGCCAGATTCCTGTCCCTTGAGTGTCCAAGTCTTTTTGGCTCTTTTTTTTTTTTCCTTTAAGTGTCTGCTCCCAAATCCTTCTATCTTGTGTGTGTAAACTTGAAGAGTGCTGTAACTAGCAGCTCTGAGGGAGGTTCCACATGTAAAGTATCTGTAGTGTTGATATGTTTAGGTAGAGAAATGGATGCAGAGTGGAAAGCACAGTACTGTGTTTTGAATAGGCTGTTCTGACAGTAATTCTACAGTGTCCATTTTCATTTTCCTTCAGATAGGAACCAGAAGGAAATATTAGCATTAACTGGGCTCTCTGAAGGTCTTTCCCTGTTTGAAAAGCCATTGCAGTGTTGAAGATCCTGCTGCTGAACTGGCCAGCTGAGGAGTACTCAGCTAATGAATCAGCTGATGAGTAAAAGCTGTCCACTTCCTCCAGAGTCCCCACTTCTAAGTATTCACTGCTTCCCTGCACAGCTCTTTCATACTAACATACTAGCTTCTGAACACATAAGTGGCTTTTGCTTTATCATTTTTTTCTTAACTTTGAGATAAGATTTGGACTGTGGCACGAGACACTCATATCTAAATACTTCATCCTTCCTTAGAAATGCACATGCTTGGGAAAATAGCTCCTTTACCTTTGATAAAAGGATTACAATGGTGATGATTCAGTGGGGAGGGAGGATGTGAGCTTTTTGAAATCTCCAGCTTCGGTTTCAAAATCTGGTTAGAGTGAAATCTGGTAGGACCTTAGTTTCATGTTCTGTTATTCCCAAAGTTAAGTACAGCTAAACTTAAACTTGTAAAAGGCTCTTGACTGGTTTGGGTTTGTTTTTTCTTTTTTTTTTAACAAGTGAGAAAAGAATTGAGAAATAATATCTGAAGTTCAGAGCAAATAGTTGGTATTAAACTTTATCTGCTAAAGGTAGGCATTATGCGATGTAAACACTCTTGCAGTTAACTTGTAGAACTAGCAGATAATGGAAGGGGTAACAAGAAATAACATACTATGATCATGACTAATTGCAGCATTATAGCAAAGTAGGATTATGACTGCTGGAATGCTTTTCCGATGAGCTAGGTAGGTGCCTGAAGAACAGCTTACCTTCTTGGATCCCTTTGGGGTACTACAGCGGTTTTCACATGTTGCCCTGATCAACTTGCTAGAATTACCAAGGAAAACTGGACTAAGACTGTTCCTTCTAAGCTTATTGCCTGTCTGTCAGTTTTAGGCTGGAGTAGCTCAGGCATGGCAGAAGCGTATGGAAGGCGGACAGTGTCGTTTGGCCACTGATTGTCTTCAACCTGGGGAGATCAGTAGGATGCTCTCACTACTGGAATGACAGGGGCTGGGGTTTTAAGGTACGGGTAGTAAGAGTCAGGGCACCTGGTGAAGTCCTTCAGTGTTATCTAGCCCTGCTATGGGATGGGTCATGCTGTCCAATTAGTAACAGGAAAAAAAAAAATATTGCCCTCTTCTTCCTCACTCTTCTAACCAGAAGGATGTCACCTGCAACAGTTTGTTTGAAATTTCACAGTAAAAGTTGTTTTTAAAATTTTCTGTCTAGCTCCATGCTGAGAAAAAGACAGTTCTCTGACAGGATATTTTTTTTTACAACTTGTTTTCTTGGTGGTCTGTGATACCAAGTTGTTTTTCTTCAGTGGAACCTCCTTACGTTGTTTTTTTTTTGTGTGTGTTAATAGTCCTTCTACTCTACTTGACTGCAACTCCACATAGTTAGGACTGTAGTAGGTATGGGTCAGCGTATGGCATGTTCTACGCTACTAAAATCAAGTTTGCCAAGACAAAACTAGAACAAGTCTGTTTAAACAGCAATGTTAAGGTTTGCTGTTATTCAGAACAATGTAACTGTTCCTATCATTTCCTTACCAAGTGTTTGAAAACTACCTAACATCAAAATAACAGTCCAGCTGGGCCTGCAGTGGCTGCCTAAGCTTCTGCCGAGTTGGTCCTGTTCGGGTGGTGCAAGACCAGTCTGTCCTCTTGGGCTTTTAATTGTTAACTTGTCCTCAGGAGCTTCACTTCGTTTAAAAAAAAAAAAAAGCATTTAATGAAAAAGCAGATGCCTTGGGGTTTAGAATTAAAACAAATCTTCTAGTGAATTTTATAAAACCTAATTTAACTTGTTCTTACAGGTACAAATGGATTTCCTGATCCTGATTTAGTCTTGAAGTTTGGTCCTGTGGACAGCACGTTAGGATTCCTTCCGTGGCACATCAGACTGACAGAGATCATGTGAGTTGCCTATAAATACGGTGAAGCAGGCTGGAATAATACCTAGCTAAATAAGTCTTTATGTGACTTACCTTATGGAAACAGCCGTGAGAGGAGATCTGTCTAAACAAAGATGTCTGGAGATTGTTTCGAGGGTATTTAAAAATTGTTAAATGAAACCTGTCAAATATTCATTGTTGCTCCTTCAGCCATGATTAGGCGACAGCAGGCTTTACTCTTCAGGTTTAAGGAATGACTTGTGTCACTATCTGGTCTCAGCGGTCCAATCCCAGTTCTGTCGGTGTTCCTTGTGTGGATTTTGAGTGGCTTACAGGTTTCTGACAGGGAAACTAAGGATATAAGGGAAATAGGATTACTTTCCAATTTTGGCAACAACTGAACTGACTGGAGTTGCTGTATTTCTGAAATCTGAGAGCATTTATAGAGCACTTAAATGTCTGGGCAGACCTGTGCTTCTCCAGCTTTCTCAGAAATTTGAAGTGCCCTGTGTGCTCTAATGGGTAGGCTTCAATTTAGAGGGTGACAAGATAGGAACAGCTAGTTTAGTTACTACAGTTGAGTGACACTAACGGTGTTGAGAACAACTTCACAAGGTTACTTGGACAATAGCTTGTTTCAAGTAGTGACATTCCTGAGTGGCCATACAGATCGTTAGTTGTTTACAAAAGCTTATTTTAACTTTTCTGCCTTGCTTTCTCAGTTCTTTGCCTTCCCACCTGAACGTCAGCTATGAAGACTTTTTCTCTGCCCTCCATCGCTATGCAGCCTGTGAGCAGCGCTGGGGAAAGTGACTTCTGGCTGAGCACATGGAGTCGGGCTTTCTGTGGGAAGGAATCAATGTCTGTTTACAAGCACCTGTGATCCATAAGTCTGGTTCATAGTCCTTTCTTAATTTATCAACAAATTCAATAAAGTGTCTTACCTTTCTAGAGAGTCTGTGTGAATGCGTGAGAATCTATGGGGAGGGGAAAATTCACAGATTTCCTATTTCATAAAGACCGTTATTGCAAGCAAAGCTGTTCAAAACTGATCTACCCTCACTTTCATGTCCAAGTGACCAAAAGAACAGGCAGGAATTAAGTCTTGAGAAATCTGCAGGACAACATAAATAGGATTTCTATGCGCTGAAGGTCCGTAAATCCAAGGAAGAGCTCTCCTGTTAACTTGTTTCTTTTTAATTCTTCATGGTCAGGCATTTCAGAGCTCATCACCTGGTTTCTCTTCAGATATATTTACTATATAATATGTGAGTTCCAGAGAGGTCAGTTCTGTTAGCTGAGAATAGAGACTGCTGCTTGGCTGTGATGACTAAGCCAGCAGTAGGTATCAAGCTCTAGAAATACTGAGAAGATTCCATAAAAAGGAATGGAAGCTTCTATGGTAAGTGGATTTGGCAATCTGTGTAGCTCTACTCATCCTCTTTTTTTTTTTTTTTTTTTTTTTTTGAGGTAAAATCAAAGTATTCCTACAGGCCTGAATGAGACTTCTCTTACCATCAGGTCAGTTTTCTATAGGGAATAAGTGTAAACAGTACTATGTAATGTTTGTGTGCTTATTTCCCCCATGAAATTCTCACTTAACCTGACAAGCTGGCTAAGGCTCAGACATCACTTGCAAAAATCTGAAAATGGAATAGATGTGCTTGTGCGCAGCTGTGTACGCAGCAGCGGAGCCTGCTGAAGCCACCTGTTGGGTTTGTTCTGAGCTGGGCAGGCAAAGTTTGGGAGTCTGCAGCCGACAAGAAGGAAGTGAAGCTGCAGTAGAGTATCTCAGAACTGAGAGAACTAGATAGATAGGTTAGCTGAATGGTCTCCATCATGGAACACCCTGTTCAAGTTACATTCCTATTGTTGGAAGTAGTTTGAAATTGGAGGTCTTATGTTAGACAAACGGAGACAAACGTTAATATTGCAACCTTCTGCCCTGCAGGCTGTAGAACTGTTGGACACTTCATTCTGGAAGTGTTTCTTTCCACCACCCCCCTGCCCCCCTCTTCAAAATGGGTCTAGCTTTATCTCCAGGATAGGCGTGTCACTAGAAGGGAAAGCAACTGCTTTTAAAAAGAATTGCTAGATTTTAAAGGAACGTCTGCTGCTTTGTGAAACGGTGTATTTTAACTTGTTGCTTGATGTAATGTTATAAAGCAGACTGCATAAACTCTTAGCTGCAGTTTTTTGTCGTACTAAGATCAGACTGCAGTTACAGGAGAGAGCTGTTGTCTACGGTATCTCATAAAAGTGAAAGGGAGGTTTAATCTGTTAACTGATGGTTTTGACATCAAATAACATTCTGTATGAGCTGGAGTGCTCAGAATACAGTTGGCTGCCTTTTGCAGGTGGGTCTCTGATGCTTGGCAGTTGCTGTATGGCAGAGAAGATGAACAGTCATGCGATGTTTCCTGGGTTCCGTCATTGCCATAGGAAAGTTTTCTCACTGAATGTGAAGTTTTAGCTTTTTTTTTGTGGGGAGTGGATAGCCTGTTGGAGGGTATTTTGAGTATTGAAGTTTATCTGTAATCCTATTTTGTTTCATTAAAATGCTTTAAGTTACCATATGTAAGTGTTGCAGTGTCACTGAAGCAGTTCTGATGCTGGCAGTAAAGATATAAAATGAGAAAAGCTTAGTTTAGTCCTCAAAATAATTATTTTTTATATTTGTATCAAACTGCTAAAGAATACTTTTAATACCTGATCTCCCCTCAGTCCTCAAACTTCTGCATATCTCGACTAAAAAGACTTGTTTTATCTTGGAGGCAGATCTCAAGGTCTAGGATTTGTCTATAGAGGAGTGCTTAATGAAACTAAAGTGATTCATTCAGCTGCATTTGATTCAATTTAATCAAATCTCTTCTGATGGCTAGTTTATTGTGAATTAAGTGTTCCTCCTGGAATGAATGCAGTCGAACTAATCCACGTTATCACTCATTTGGGATTGTTTCACTGTCCCTGTGTGGGCAATCTTCAGTGAGCTGTGCCAAATGCACTGTGCGTATCCACCCCTTGGGCTGCCGACAGCCCCTCTCCCCGACTGCTTCTGTGTGAAGGTCTGTGGCGTAGCTGTGACGTGCTCTATGGCTGTAGTCTCTGGGTGCCTGTACATAATGTGTAAAACAAGTTTTTATGATTAGGAAATCAATTTATTGAACTTTATTATTGAAAGTTAAATCTGAATCTGTACAAGAAGAGATCAATAAAAGACTATAATCTTTCTACAGGCTATGGTGATACATGAATACTTTCGCAGGGTTGACTGGGGAGATGCAGCCTTACTCCTGTTGCTACACCACTCGGAAAGTAGAGAACCTGAAAGGGCACGCTCTTTTGCGCTGTACTTAAATTGCTTTCTGTATTGTAAGAATTGGACAATTTTTTTTATCTACCACTTCCAACTTCTAAGCAGCTCTTACAAAAGCTTTTATAGGAAAGCGTTTACCGTAAAAATACCTCTTTGATAGTCCTGGGAACTTGCTAAACTTGATCCCGGCTACTAAAAATCTTGCTTCCTCTCTCTGCTGCTGAGTCAGTCCTGAAGGATGAGCTGGGCCGGGCGGCTCGGGGCAGGGTGAAGTGGGGTGTGGTGTGGGAGAAACCTCCACAGCGATGGCTGGGTGCTGAGCGTGGCCTCTTCTGAAAGGGGAAGAGAGTCTTCAGGGAAGTTTTGGAAAAGCACGAGGGCTCGTGGTGGGGAACGAGGTGACCAGGAGCCAGCCTGCAATGGCGACCAGCAGTCTCCCAGGTTGCCTTAGCAGAGTGTTGCCGGCCGGTCAAGGGAGGTGATCCCTCCGACTCGGATCTGCTGAGACAGCTGGGGGGCCGGGTCCAGTTCTGGGCTTCCTTGGTGCAAGAGAGACAGGGACTTAGCGGAGCTAGATGGGCCAAAGGCCACGATGATGATGATGGTTGAAGAGCAGAGCATCTGTTGTACGAGGAGAGGCTGAGAGAGCAGGGACTGCTCAGCCTAGAGAAGGCTCAGGAGGGATCTTGCCAAGGTTTATAAATATATGATGGAGGGGGAGTAAAAACAGGCGACTCTTCTCGGTGGTGCTTAGTGGCAGGCTGAGGGGCAGTGGGCATCATGCTGAAATACAGGAGAACGCATTTAAACATCAGGAAAACCTTTCCTGGTGAGGGTGGTCTGACCGTGGAGCAGGTTGCCCCGAGGGGTTGTGGAGTCTCCTTCAAAAGCTGGTTGGACACATGGGAGTGGGTGGGATGGGTGTTGGAGAAGATCATCTCCAGCGGTGCCTTCCAACCTCAGCTGTGCTGTGAAATGGAAAACTCCAGAGAAGTTATTTTACAGAGAAGGAGATTTATGGCAAACAGTCTGCTGTGGCCACGGTTCAGCGTACGGCACTTCCATGCTCGCTGTAACCACACGCGCTTTAGCCCAGAGGAAAGCGAGAGGTGGTGGAGCACCCGTGGGACCGGCTGGCACATCCCCCTCACCGCAGTGAAAGGGTGTGCTGGGTACAGGCAGTCGTGAGTTCTCAGTAAGCTTGCAAATTAACACCTGGGTCTCAAAATCCCAACTGTCAACAGAAAAACTGTATTCTTTGCTCTGTTATGTTGTGATAGAGTTTCTTCTGTGTTGTCTGTTAGCACATCCTTCAGGTTTTCCTTCCTTCCTTCCCCAGTGCTGCTGGCACTCTCTTTGCTTAGATATGCAAGCTCCTGGCAAGAAAACCGTCACATTATTGAAGGTAACTCTTTGGTATACCCTAGATAATACCAAAAATTTGTTACCATGCAACTCAGTGGACAGTGAACCTGTACGGCTTTTCACTGAATTGGCTTACACCTAGCTTCACACTTGCCAGCATTAAGCAGGCTCTTGAAAAGCTGTTTGAGTGCCTCTGGTGCATCCCGAGTTATTACTTATTGCACAGACACGTCGTGCCTGTAAAGGTTAACAGTAGTTTCCCAACTGGAGCTGGCTCTGGAGCAGCATTAGGTACGATGCTGATGGGCTCTCCTACCTCAGCTGGTTTTTAATAGAGTCAGCGCTGGTGGCTCACTGCCGTTAATTTGTAATTTCCATACCAAAAAATATTAGAGCTGTCTGTATGGTGGAAAATGCATCTTCACTTGCCCCAACATAAGGGAGAGCCCCCATTCATGGTAGCTACTACTCTCTCAACAAATGATTCAGGTTTCTACATCCTTCGTCTTCTTTTTTCCCTTCCAGTGGTGCACGGTAGTTGATGTCTAGTAAAGGAACTGGATGAGATTCTGAAACGGTTGTTTTGCAGCAGGGAATTTGGGGCCGTGGTCAATAGCACAGCTGTTAGAGGAAACAGACCTACAAAGCACTTCTTGAAATGACAGCGATTTCTGGGACTTCTTGTTACAAACGTGCATTGATCAACTGTAGGGCATAGCACGCTGCATTGAGGGAAGACTGATGGGCAAGTAGAATGTAAAGGGAAGGTCATTCTTTTTAGAAGAAAGTATATTCTTACACACTAGCATGTGTAAGTGCTTTCTAAAGTACTTTACAGAAATTACAAGAAAAAATAACCTGCTGGTTGGATTCCCTGTGTGTTTCGTGAGTTCGGCTTGTGCGTCAATTCATAACTGCCCTGAATAGTCCCAAGTGTTGTACAAAATAAGGACGTTTTTAAGCGTAGACGAAGCATTTTTTGTCTCTACAGTTGAATTAATGTTGCACTACTAACCGTGTTTATTCATTGGCACCAAAAGGTAGGTATACTGATAAATACCAAGGGGTAGTGCAGAGAGCTTTAGCCCCTGTCTGCCGATCCCGAGGGACCAGCTGCCTCGCCGGGGGGCTTTGCCCCGCGCTGCCAGCCAGGACTGCGTGGCCCAGCCAGCCCCTTGGGCCGGAGGACACGGAGACAGGGGCTCTGCCCGGGCTTCCACGCCACCATCCTCGCCGGGGTCAGAGCCCCTCCGGAGCTCCGCTCACTGGGCACT